GAGAGAGAGAGAGAGAGAGAGAGAGAGAGAGAGAGAGAGAGAGAGAGAGAGGACTAGATTGAACCAAAACCCTATAAAACTGTGTACTTCTTTAAGCCCGATTAATGAGAGTAGGAGGTTCCCGAAGATAGCAGCTTCCAAAAGATTGTCGGTGTCTAAGTAGCTTAAAGGCTCTTTCTAAGAGGAAAGCTGTATTTATAGTTACAATGACTTGGTGATTAGCCAATAAATATGTTGAGTGTTGAAAAGCTTGCTAGCTATTGTGCTTAAAAGGAGAACATGTGATAGTATGAAGATGCTTCAGAACAAAAACAATCATAAGAGATGAACAGGGAGATTGTTGTGGTGGTAGTAGGCCCCTTATAGCATGATAAAGCATATGTTAGATAAATCCTGGACTCCTAGATCGTGAGGGTTGTCCATCCTTATGCAGAATGATGTTGGAGTTCTAATATATGGGTGACTTAAAGAGAATATTTTCTATCATGCCATCGAGAAGGAATTTTGATGTCAGATGACTGTCAAAGTAAGGATTAATTATTATGTGCGGACGCCGAACGCCGTCCGGAAACTAATCAGAATGCATCATGTCACCCCTGTGCTCGGTACCGTCGCTCGGTACCGCTGACGTGTTGGTCTCCGGACGACGTTCTGCATCTGGTCTCCGCAAAAAATAATTTCTCCAAAGTAAGACACCAACTCCAAGAGGAATTATGAGGATGAGATTAAGGCCAAGCTAAAATGAGTGAATACCAATAAGACATGTTTCAATGGTTCTTAAAATGGAACTATGATAAAGTATACAACTTATAATAATGTGCTTATCAAGGTATGCCATGTTTGTATGACTTATCAAATAAACTAATACAATGAATGCAAATTGAGGCTGATGTTTCCTGTGATGCTTTAATGAGAGGGCATACCATAGTGTCGGGGATCCATGGGAAGCCAAATGTTGCTGCCACATGCCATGAATAAGACAAACTACATGAACATGTTGCGAGTTAACAACAACACAATAGTTGATGCTGCAAAATTCCCGTGATTATGGTTTGAAATTGATAGAAATGATAATTAATATTGCGAGCATCAGTAATTGAAGAGGATTTGAGAGTTCTCAACAGAGAATCGAGGGAATGTGGAGGGAAAGCTTCATGAGGGGCATCCTTAGATTGACCCTAAGAGGCCTCTTGAGATAACCAACCTGAGAGGATTTCCAAGAGTGAATTTAATAATGCTTAACAATAGTGATCGTGTGTTGCGATTAATCTATCCACAAGGCAAAAATGTCCTTACAGACAACACAAATACAAACATCTATAATGAATATTTTGATGCATAAGATTGATTATCAAACAATATTAAAAGTTCTTAAAAGAGCGCACAATAATAGTTTTAATGATGTTAAAAAGAATGAATAATTTTGATCTTGCATGTGAAGATAACAATATTGAAATCTAATTAAGTAAAAAATGATTATTCTCTCTCTCACACACACACAAATGATCTAATAAACAAACCAAACTTGTTGCAATTATCAATACGAAACAAGATCAATCCTTTTGAACGCCTTAATATAAATAGGGATTGAAAAATATTTCGAAATCAAATGTTGGTGACAATCAAGAGGGTAAAACTTGCAATCCTCAATCACAAAAGTGAATCAAGGAAGATAAATATTTGTTATCGCATATAGCTTAATCCATAAAAGCCTACCTGATATAGGTTGGGGCTTCCGCAAAGGCATTTGGCAAAAGCTCCAGCAAATCCATCAGTGCCTTTTATAAATTGCCGCACCACATCGCGGTACTAAATTAAACAGAAAGAAAGCCTCAAGTTATGCCTTGGTAAAGAAAGCCAATAAAAAACTGCAGATAATACTACATCAGTAGGGTAATTACACTAAGTGCATCCACATCAAACTTCACCGAACTAGTTGGAGTTAAGAAGGAAAAACAAGTAAATAAGGAACACCAAAAGATGTTAATAGTGGTTTCGCCATATCATTATATCCAAATAGTTAGGAAACCTAGAGTTCAATAAAAACTTTTGTCTTACATTGAGAGAAGTAAAATAATTTCTGAACATATAGATTGCGCTCCTTCATCAAGTCAGACAATTGCAATCGATCAAAGTACAAAGCTAACGTCAAGTTTACAAAACAATCACAAAGCACAACATGGAAGAACAAATAAGAAACCAAAAGAAGGTGAACAATTAAGTAGAGAACAACCATTGAGGCACTTACTCTTAGTTAAGCCCAAGTTAACTGTCTAATGCGACTTAGATTTACCCACTTACCCCAACCATCCTCTAGCTTCTAGCTACTTATGCTGCTTAAGCTCTCACAAATATAAAGTTAAACTAGGCTTATCATAGTTATACAACTAATAGGCCGGCCCAGGAGGGGCCGGCTGGACCGGTCCAACCTGGACCGGTCCTGATCTACAGCCGGCGGAAGCAAGGCAAGAAAGAGGGGGCCGAACATTGGGTGGGGCCCACTTGGAGTTAAATCCAATATTATGAGGGAAAATTTGAATTAGAAGGGTAATTAGGTAATTTGTAATCCTCCTTTCATGATTAATTAGGGGGAATTAGGGTTATCTTGAATTTGATGTTACAGTTTAGATGATTTTTGGGTGGCTAAATCTTGTTAGAATCTTGTTAGTTAAATTTTTGTTTTGCCACCTTTGTACATGTATGTTGAATGAATTGCTAGAATGGCTTACATGAAGATTAGTGGCGTTTGTTTCAATTGTGTTTTAAAGTTCATACAATTATACTTTATGTTTTAAAAGTTGTAGAAGTTATGGTTTATTTGCCTGTCCGATCTCGTTCCCGCCTCGTCCATACGAGCTAACCGGGCCGGATCGTGACAGGAGGAGAGAGGGATCTCATCACCGAGGTGTTGAATTCGAAAGAATTCAGCGTTGAGAGGGGATTTTGAAGGAAGAAGGGAGGAACGTCATCGTCGAGGTGCTGAATTTGAAGGTATTCAGGGTCGAGGTGATGATGTTGAAAGGAGGAGAGGAGAGTATGAAGAGGGATTCGAGTATATTCGTCGGAGGGACGATCGGGACAATTGGGGAGCACCTCCTCTGAGAGGAATGGGAGGCTATGGAGGATACCGGGGAGATCCCAAGGTGAGGAAATTGAAGATGCCCGTTTTCAAGGGGGAAGGCGGCCATGGCTGGATCTACAAGGTGGAGCGTTACTTTGCTGTCAATGGATTGACAGAGGATGAGAAGCTGACGGCGTCAAGATTATGTCTGGAAGGAAAGGCTTTGGCATGGTATCAGTGGCGTGACAGGAGGGAGCCCATCCGGAGCTGGAGGGAGTTCAAGGACTGCATATTAGAACGTTTCCGAGCCGATGGGGGAGGAGACTTCTATGAGCAATTCTTTGCCCTGACTCAGGAGGGGACGGTGGCGGATTATATCGAGACAGATTCGAGTACCTGGCTAGCCGATTGGATCACATCTCGGAGTCGGTCCTGGAGGGGAACTTCATGAAGGGGCTTAAGTCAGAGACACGAACCGCTGTTAGAGTATTGGAGCCGAGGAACCTATGGAAGACTATGGAGTTAGCACATTTGGTGGAGGATCAGAAGAAATCTGAAAGAGCCCGAGGAAACTATTTGGGGGGGTCGTACAAGATGACTACTACCATCTTGCCTTGAAAGGGGGGATCTTCAGGGAGTCTGAAGGAGGCACGAAAGGATAAGGCTGGAGGAGGGGGAAACGGGGGACAGTTCAAATGGCTGACCGAGAAGGAGATATAGGAGAAGAGGTCAAAGGGGTTATGTTTTCAATGTGACGAGAAGTACACGCCCAGACACCGGTGCAAGGACCGAACTCTTCAGCTTCTCCTCGTCTGCGAAGACGAGGAAGACGAGGAGGGAGGTGGGAGCGGGTCAGAAGGAGAGGAGAAGTTGCATCTGGATGTGACAGAAGTCTCTCTGAACTCAGTAGTGGGATTTACTCCGAGTCACTCTATGAAATTAAGAGGAAAGATAGCTGACCGTGAAGTGTTGGTGCTGATCGATAATGGGGAAACCCACAATTTCATTTCTGCCCAGATCGTGGATCAGTTAGGGATGGAGCTAGTCGATACAGGAGGCTATGGGGTGATGATGGGCACGGGGAAGATGGAGATTGGGAGAGGAGTTGCAAGGGAGTGGTCTTGACCATCCAAGGGCTACAAGTGAGGGAGGATTTTCTTCTCTTAGAATTGGGAAGTACCAATGTCATCCTGGGGATGAAATGACTGCAAACTTTGGGGGAGACCAAGGTCAACTAGGGTGCTCTGAGGATGGAACTGATGATAGAAGGGCAGAGGAAGGTGATCCAGGGGATGCAGGGCTATAAAAGGCAGTCGTATCTCTCAAGAACCATACAGGAGGTGGGAGGTTGGTGGAGCTGCAATGTTTGGAGAGGGTCAGTGTGGGGGAAGAAGGAGACATTCCACTGATGGTGCAACCACTCATACAGCAATACAGGGAGGTGTTCCAGCCACCCCAGGGATTGCCACCACCTAGAGAGCAGGAGCATGCCATTCTTCTGAAAGAGGGAGTGTCACCGATCAGTGTTCGACCGTATCGCTACCCCCAGATTCAGAAGATGAAATTGAGAAGCTGATCAAGGAGATGTTGGAAATAGGGATCGTTAGACGCAGTGTGAGTCCTTTCTCCAGTCTAGTCTTACTGGTAAAAAGAAGGATGAGAGCTGGAGGTTTTGCGTGGACTACAGAGCCCTGAACAAGGAGACAGTACCGGACAAATTCCCCATTCCAGTGATCGATGAGTTACTAGATGAGCTACATGGAGCGGTTGTGTTTTCAAAGATGGACCTGAAATCGGGCTACCACTAAATCAGAATGAAGGAAGGGGACATTCAGAAGACGGCGTTCAGAACACACGAGGGCCACTATGAGTTCTTAGTGATGCCATTTGGGCTCACTAACGCCACCGCTACCTTTCAGTCCTTGATAGGGGTGTCAATTTCGGGTCACGGGTCAGGTTCGGGTCGAACCCGGAACTGACCCGGGTTTAAACGAGTCGACCCTAACCCGACCCGGGTAGACAAACGGGTCGAAAATCTGAACCCGACCCGGCAGGTTCGGTTCGGGTTCAGGTTGACCCAAACCGGAAATTTTTGGGTCGGGTTCGGGTCGGGTTTTCGGGTCGGGTCAAATGTTGACAGCTCTAGTCCTTAATGAACAGGGTATTCAGGCAGCACTTGAGGAAGTTTGTACTAGTCTTCTTTGATGAAATTTTGGTGTACAGCCAGACCAAGGAGGAACATTTGAAGCATCTAAAGGAGGTTTTGAGGATCTTATATACACATCAGCTGAAAGCTAACTTAAAGAAATGCAGTTTTGCCCAGTCGAGGTTGGAATATTTGGGACATTTAGTGTCTCAAGGGGGAGTGGCAGCTGACCAGTCAAAGATTGAAGCAATGCAAAAATGGCCCATGCCCAAAAACATCAGGGAGTTGAGGGGTTTCTTAGGACTGACGGGATACTATCGGAGGTTTGTGAAGGGGTACAGTTCCATGGCTTGGTCGTTGACGGAGCAGCTGAAGAAAGACAAATTCTCCTGGGGTGATGCAGCGACCCAGGCCTTCGAAAGGTTGAAGAAAGCTATGACCACTGTTCCAGTTCTAGCCCTTCCAGATTTCAGCCAGGCCTTTGTGGTAGAGACCGATGCGTCAAGATATGGGCTGGGAGCAGTGTTGATGCAGAACCACAGGCCTGTAGCATACTTCAGTCAAGTGCTATCAACCAGGGCAAGCCTGAAGTCAATGTACGAGAGAGAGCTGATGGCGATTGTCTTAGCCATTCAGAAGTGGCGCCCCTACCTGTTGGGGCGACATTTCATTATCCGGACTGATCAGAGGAGTTTGAAGTATCTCTTGGAGCAAAGGATGGTGACTAAGAAGCATCAGCAGTGGCTATCCAAACTATTGGGCTACGACTTCGAGATCCAGTACAGGCCGGGTTTGAAAAATAAAGCAGCTGACACCCTATCCACATGTGTGGGGGAGCTCCATGAGCTAGCCCTGTCAGTACCATTGATGATCGATTGGGGGGGCCATCAAGGAAGAAAGCATGCTAGATGAAGAATTGGGAAAAATCAGGGAGGATCTGAGGAAAGACAAGAGCAGTCAGCCTGGTTACAGCATTGAGGGGGAGAGATTAATGTATCAGGGGAGGTTCGTGATGCCACAAACTTCCATACATATTCCACACTTGTTGCAGGAGTACCATGGCAGTGCAGTCGGGGGCCATTCAGGAGTACAAAAGACGTACAGAAGGTTAGCAACTGAGCTCTACTGGAAAGGGATACATAAGGATGTAGAGGAGATGTTGGCAAGGTGTGAGGTGTGCCAGAGAAAAAAATACATGGCAATGGCACCAAGAGGGTTACTCCAACCATTGACACTTCCAAACAAAGTATAGGAGGAAGTGTCTATGGATTTCATCGACGGCCTACCCCGTTCAGAGGGATACACAGCCATTTTGGTAGTGGTGGACCGCCTCAGTAAGTATGCACATTTCATCCTTCTACAACACCCGTACACCGCGGTATCAGTGGCAGCAGCTTTTATCAGAGAAGTGGTGAGATTACACGGGCTGCCAGAATTAATTGTTTCCGATAGAGACAAAGTGTTCCTTAGTCAGTTTTGGAAGGAACTATTTCGAATGCAGGGCACTGTTCTCAAGAGAAGTATCGCCTATCATCCTCAGACAGATGGACAGACAGAGATGGTAAATCGGAGCTTGGAGACGTACTTGAGGTGTTTTTCTTCAGAAACACCACGGAAGTGGGCAAAATGGTTACCGTGGGCAGAGTATTGGTACCATTTCGTACCATTCCGCAGCTCAAATGACCCCTTTCAAAGTGCTCTACGGAAGAGACCCCCCACACTTAGTGCATTATGAGAGGGGAAACACACCAATATCTTCAATGGAGCAATACCTAGAGGAAAGAGACCAGGTGCTAGAGGAGTTAAAGAAACATCTGGGAATGACACAACAAATCATGAAGGAGCGAGCTGATGCACATAGGAGAGATATACAGTATGAAGTGGGGGAGAAAGTGTACTTGAAGATAAGGCCCTACAGGCAGAAATCAGTGGCACACAGGAAGAACGAGAAATTAGCCCCGATGTACTTTGGCCCCTATGAGATCTTGGGAAAGATTGGAGCAGTGGCTTATCGTCTGAAGTTACCCCCCTCCGCTACCATTCACCCAGTGTTCCATGTGTCTCAACTGAGGAGAGCACTAGGGGAGCATGCAGCTAGTGCGGAATTACCAGCATCTTTGACAGAGAATTGGGAGGTGGTCATGGAACCCGTGGAGCTGGAAGGGGTAAGGGTAGAAAAGAAAGGAAATAAAGAGGTAATTATCAAATGGAAGGATCTCCCAGACTACGAGGCCACTTGGGAGCCCTATGAGATTATGAAGCAACAGTTCCCTGACTTTCACCTTAAGGACAAGGTGAGTTTTTTGGAGGGGAGTACTGATAGGCTGGCCCAAGAGGAGTCGGTTGGACCGGTCCTGGTCTACAACCGGCGGAAGCAAGGCAAGAAAGAGGGGGCCGAGCATTGGGTGGGGCCCACTTGGAGTTAAATCCAATATTATGAGGGAAAATTTGAATTAGAAGGGTAATTAGGTAATTTGTAATCCTCCTTTCATGATTAATTAGGGGGAATAGAGGGGAATTAGGATTATCTTGAATTTGAATGTATTTTTGAGATCTAGTTTTGGTTCTTGGGCTCTTGGCGTTGCCGGAGATTGTGGAGACTAATTCCTTCCTCTCGGATTGAAGGAAATTGTATCTTTCTTTGTGTCTTGCATCTACTATTGAAATACAAGAGTTTTGCTTGATTTTGTCTCAGATTTCTATTGCAAATCTCCTGTTTTCTCTGTTTTGGGCTGTTTTCCTGCTGTGGACAGCAAAATCATTGCTGCAGTTCACTGATTTTGGCCAGGAACACTTGTGAATACAAGTGGTTCCTATCAACAACACACATGGTTCAAGATTAATCCATACTTCTTGCCAACCAAATGATGTTTATTAACCTAGACTAATGAGCCTAAATACTTGAGGGGTTATCTTAATCATATAAAATAAACCAAACTCAAACCAAATAAGAAATAAGGATTCTTTTCATAACATAACACCAACTCGAACCAAAAAAAAAAAGGCTCATTAGTCTAGGTTAGATTATATGATTATTTTAATAACTTATTTTTGCAAGTGAAAAACTTTAGCTTCACGTTTGATCCACCAACATCCACCAGGTAAGTGGACTTAAAAGAATAACAAGATATTTCACAGAAGAACACTGTTGCCCCAAACTTGTTTTATCTCATAATTCTACACCCGTTAACTCCTCCATAACACGCTAAGCCTTCTTGTAACAACATAAATGCACACCCTTTAATTCCTCTATATCTTCATGGCATTGTCTGTGTAAATTTAAGCAAGGTTTATTTTCTAATATCTATCATGTAACACTTCTACACTAAAACAAAATCACGAGATAGTAAATTTGATCCCAAACTTATCCTAAGTAACTTGTTGAAATCATTTGGGTTCCCAAATCTTCTTTTCACTTCAATGTCATTTGGTTACGATGTCAATGTTCATGATAAGTTATTGTATCAAACTAAATATAGTTTCAGAAATACAATGAAAAGTTGCTTCATCTCTTTTCATAAAAACAACCTTGACTAACCTGCCCATTCCATTCTGACCAAATTCCCCAATGAGGGAACCGACCAACTTGATAAAGGCCTCCCGCATCCCATGCCTCAGCAATCAGCTATTGCATATGTGAAGAGAATTGTAATTTAAACAAAGATATTTTCGGAAGAAAATTTGAACAAATCATTATAACAATTCTAAGGCTATAGAACCAGGACCCAATTAAAGGGGCAAAAGATTAGCTGTCTCACCAAAGTAACATTAGGATATCATGTTTTAAACAGATTCAGGTCATGAATTGGCATCTGTACCTTGACCCCTCTGAGAAATGGATCATTACTAATAATGTCAATGACTGGAGGGCTGCTAAGAGGAGTTCCCATGGTCAATAGGTCCCCTTCTACTTGTCTTCCGTATGTACTAACTGGATCCCATAAACTTAAAAATAAAATAAAAGATGCAATATAAGCATAAGATATATTTAGGGACCATAATTTCTGAACTTTGAATTAGGCTATATTGATGATAGTAGAACAACCTGCTAGCCCTTGTCATTATAGAGGCCAGGTCAAAGCGAAAGCCATCAACATGCATCTCTGTGACCCAATATCTGCAAAAAAGATAAATCTTTCATTCCACTAAAGAAAATATCAGAAATAGGAGTCAATGCCGTAAGATTCACTCATGTGGTTAATTTTCAATTTTTAAGATGATTCAGCTTGATGATGTTCAATAAGAATCTACTCATCTGGTTGATCCATAATGCTCACATGGGTCTTACAATCCTTCTGTAGAAGGCTTTTTGATATTAGTATTATTATCATCAGCATGGTTTGGTAAGTTGGTTAAAGTTAATCCATTTCACGAAAATGGACCGGGTTTGATCAGATCCGATCCAATACATAGCACGTAGTATCAGTTTTGGAAATAGTAATGAGTTTTGATCAAACCGGATCAATTTTGGGAAAAAACAAGGCCATAATTAACTGCCTTTGGAGATAAAAGTGATCAATAGTATTAAATTTCATAACATAAATAATAATTAACTTTTTGATACAAATTATGTAATCTTGTTCATAATTAAAAATAAATTCAAATTTTGAATATAACTTTTTTAATCATTCCAATTTGTTCATGAAAATTAAGTTAATGTTAGAACAACTAATAATTAGTATTTAATTTCTATTAAAATGGTATAAAAGTATATAAATATTTTAAAAAATGCATATATATATATATATATATATATATATATATATAGAGAGAGAGAGAGAGAGAGAGAGAGAGAGAGAGAGAAGTTATGGTTGTTACCTCAAATATTCTATCAGATATATGATGGGATTGACATATACTTTTAGGCTTATGATAAGCGCACATTACAGGTAAAAAAAAAAAGAGTTCCTATCTTATTGGTTTATTTTTCAAAAACATTATAAAAAAATTGTAATGCAATATATTATTTCTTTCAAATTTAAATAATAAAGAAGTATCAAAACTTAAACTAAAACACCACCGAAACTATTGAAAGGACTTCCAAGATAAAGTGAAACAAAAAATATGATAAGGGTGAACATTAAGATAATAACACTGAAGAGAAACAAAAAGAGAGAGTATCAAACTCATGCAAGTTTCCCTGGAATCATATAGTTCGCAAGTCTAAGGCAACTTTGTCAAAACGTTAAGATTTAATATATCTCATTCCGTGAAAAATATAAACTAGTCAGAGTACAAGAACCTGATAGCTCTTTGAAAGGAACTTGAATCTTCAGATATTTCATATTTGTTGAATATTACCCTCACTTGATAGAAAGATTATGATTTATTATTTTCATCTGCATTAAATTCATAAAATTTAACGTTCATTCCTTGTGATAAAGTCTTAACGTTCATTAGACATAAAATAATCCCTTTATTAAAACACAAACCTATGTGGAACTATAGGTTTATTTAGAAAAATTTAATACACAACACATTGACGTCTCCAGTACCTTGTGCTTTGTAAGTGCCAATATTCGGGAGTAACTATTGTTTGGTCAAATAATACATCAGAAGACATGCCAAGATAATAACATATAATATTTCAGCCCTTTTCAATCCACTTCAAAATCATGTGAGAAATCTGGGTTCTACCAGTAATAAACAGCAGTTTTGTTTGCTCTGCATTAGCTTTGGATGATGAAAGCATGCATTTAAACATGCAGTACTAAATGTGCCTAATTAGCTTGTGCAAACTTTCCACCTCGACCCTATCTAATAACATATGTCCTGAAATATGTTTAAAAATACTTTAAATGCATTTGCATACGGGTAACTTTACTGGCCAAGCAAAGATTGGGAGTAAATGGATCGTTGATGCCAGATTCTCTAAAGATAAATGCTAACAGATATAACCAGAGGATCTACCTCATACAATCTTTTATGAATCGACGGACAATCGGATGGTTACAATTAAAGGTGTTCCCACAACCTGAATAATTGTAGAATTCGCCCTGTAGAAAAATCAATAATTTACAAAGACTCTTAGCCTTTTTTTTTTTTTCCAAACTGAATATTCAAAATGTGCCACAAGGAGCAATTTACAGAAAAAAGAAAGATTCAAGCAAAATGATGTGAAACACAGTCTACAGTCATACGAATGTGAAATGTGTTAAATTGATAGTATTTTGAATTTAAAATTCTAAATTTTAATTTTGAATTGCAATTAGTTTGGCAGGTCAGTTAAAAATCTGTATTTAGCGTGATGAACATAATTTTCAGTAGCAAGAACAACCGTACTTGGGTCTTTCATAATTAACAGTAAATATTGTTTGAGACTTAAAAATTGCTATGATGTGAACTTTGCATGTTCTTTTTCCATCTTCTTCTTTGTCTCTCTCTTCTTTTTCCATATTCTTCTTTCCTAATGATTTTACCAAGAACAATGGCATATAGCCTAACTCTACACTGCATACTAAATCCTAAAACCCAAATGTCCTACTTGACAAGATAGGTTCAACCTGTAGCAACCATATGACCTTGACTGCATCTAAGTGGGGTGGTGCTGTTGAAGCACGGTATACGTGCATATCACTGTCAAAATGTGCTCAAATGTAAATTGTTCATAATAAAGAACTTGAAGGAAAAAATACTATCATTTAAAATTTTGGGAAAAACACCTTCGGTCCAATCATATAATAAGTTTTGTTGTCAATGCCCCTGAATGAGAGTATGGGACCATTTTCATTCCCCTCAGCAGTATGATTAAAAACAATATCAATGATCACCTGGCAAGTAAATTGACAGACAATATGAGAAAAGGATATTAATAACAAAAGTCACAATAAAAAGCAAATATTTGGTCACCTCAATGCCTCGTTTATGAGCTTCTCTAACAAGCATTTTGAATTCATTGATCGCATCATGACCAGAGTTAGCTGTACCCGCAGATGAATATCTTGACATTGGTGAAAAAAAGTTGATTGTTGAGTAGCCCCAGCAATTCATCCTACCATTAGGGTTACGAATTTTTAGATAAAGAAAAAGCAGAAACTCCATGTACAGTGAAAACGTGCTGTGCTGCTGTCAAAGGCAAAAGCTGCAATACCCTCATTACCCATACATGCAAGGAAGAATTTTCCAAGTCTAAATTTGCAGTGCAAATTTTAGTCTGAATGCTAATAATGATGATTTTTAACTTAATGATGTAGTACTTGAGCGATTATTAGTCTCATCATAATTAGTTTCTATTATTTGTTCAGAATATTATCTTTAGACTTTGAGTTATGTAACAGTTTATTTCTGTTACCCTGTTATTATATACTAGTGCTCTTAGCTTATATGCTTGTATTGTGCGTGTTGAGTGGGCGTTGATTATCAACTACGGAACTGACTTGTATTTCATCATCGTTAGATCAATTGAAATAAAAAGCATTTTTCTTTCCTTTTTTCATCTTGTTTAGGGTTTTCAAAAATCTCTCATGTTGTGCCAATTGGTATTAAAGTTGCTTCTAGAGGAAGATTGATGAGACCTAATGACAAGTGTTAGGGCCGCCACACACAAATAAATATTTGATCAGGTAGAGTGAGACCTTCAAGCTTACATTCACGGCCTTATGCAGATTTTGACTATGATGGTTGTTGATGGAGCGAGCGAAATGAGGGCAACTGGCGACTTTGATGATGTTGAAGTCCAATGTGACAATGATGAGATCGAAGACAAGGCAATCAATGAAAGCAGCATCTGGATGTTTTGATCATGAGTCAACCTAAAAGCCTGGACAAATAAAGCTCACATGACAATGATGAATGATGCAAACACCCTATTGATTGGTGGACTAGAAGGGAATGACCTATTCCATAGATTGGATCAGCTACATATGTACGAGCACAACAACCATGGCATCTTTGGGAGTCGATGCAACGAGCACAACAACCATGGCATCTTTGGGAGTCGATGCAACGGAGGATACAAAGGGGTTCACAGTAGTGGCAAATACAAGAACCAAGAAGAGACTTCCTCACTATTCCATTCAATTATGGCTTTCAACACCATTGATGGTGACTATGGTATCCCTATGGAATTCACTATGTGAACTAGACATGTCTGACCAGGAGGACAACATCATTATCATTAACAATGCCCCCAAAACCCCCGCAATGGCTATGTTATCCTTCTAAAACTTGAAATTGCACAACCGAAACAGTGCTTGCAGAAACCCTAAAGGCATTACATTGAACATTATTTTTGTTCATGCATCAATGGTTCATATGAAATGCTGCTATGCATAACCCTGTGGAACTTGGTAACTGGATTGCATCAATGGATTGAAATCTCCTATTCCAGTACACGTTTGAGCCTTGGAGGTCTGAAAGATACTTTCTCTTTGTCCATCTGTTCAGAGGGTAGTCAAGTCTTCAGATGCAATAATAATGGGAGAGTTTGGTATGTTTAGCAGCAAGTACATCAAGGTTTGTTCGATCTAATTGAAAAGAGATGGATATTCTCACTTTAAAAAGCCTTGTTAGTCACAGGTCACGTAACTCTTGTACTAATAAGGTCAAGTTTGAGATCAGCTCTGGTAAAAATTCTGAGATTAAAGAGACTATTGCTGACGGAGGCAGAAAAATATATACCTGAGAAATGATCAAAGCAGAAAAGAGGAAAGTATTCATGTTTTGCAGGTGGAAAATGTTTCTGATACACAAGAAAGTACTCCTGGTAAAAGAAAAAAAACTTTGCAGATAAGGGTGCAGATTCAGTAGAAGCAAAATTCCAATGTGAAAGAGGCTAGCTTAAATGGTAAAGATTTTGGCAGTAGCACCAGATCCGGGAGAGGGGGGATGTCCTGATGATCCACATGCAATGCTCATTAATTTGTCTTCCCACTTGAGGCCATCATTACTGGAATTCCTAGAGAAGAGAAGGATAACAATGTCACAAGAAAATGCTAAGTGAAGCTGATAGCTGCCTGATAATTTGCGGAAAGAACTTGATAAGGCTTTTTTAGATTTACGGTTCTATCAAAGAGCACTGGATCTCTTTGAAGATCATCACTCTCTCTTCATTTGTGCGAGCATCTGCTCAAAACACTGGCAGCCCCCATTGTTGACAAACTTATTCAAACTTTGGTCACGGATAACAAATTGAATAAAGGAACTGAAATCGAATAAGGTGAAAATCAGGATGCTGCACAACTTCTGCAAAGCATATATCTTTGGCAAAGAGATTTGGTCCAATTCACTATTAGTGAAGGGTCAAGCTGTCGTTGAAGCATTTAAAGGGAAGTGTGTGGACACATTTCATGGCTACATTCAAGGCTATAGTGAAGGAGAGTGGACTCTTATTGAAGAAGCTTGATAGTGAATTAGAAGAACCATTTTCACGATCTTATCAAAATAGCTTAACCTCACAAGTTTCTTCCAAACATATCCAGTTGTATTTTTGCCAAAGATCGTAGCTTCAATTTATTTGCTTGTATACAACAAGGCTTGACGAATAAAAAGGAAGCGAAACAATAAAAATTTTGAAGAGATATATCTCTTCCTGGTTTCAATCCGACCCCATTGCATACAGTTAATGCCCAAAGAGATGCATTTCTTTGCTCCTGTAACTCCCCGAGCTATAATTAATTGATAAAAAGGCAAAGAAACGGAATAAAAAAAACACTCACACTTTCTATTTGGAATCCTCAAACTCCGTTCGTCTCTCCTCCGATTGGCTTATCTCCATCCACGCCTACACCCAAAGCCCAAAAGCCCGACTTCCGACGCTTGTACAGCTGACACCCACTTCTTCCCTGTGAGCCCAACTCTGTTAATCGAACTTGAACTACTTCCTTTTGTCCGATTTCTCTCTGCTTGCACTTCTATTTACATGATCTCCACTTAGTTGGATTATTTGTGAAGACAGTGCTTTAAACTGTCTATATTTCTCGAAGTCATTTAAAAAAAATTGAAATCGAACCTATGTGAATAACCAACTCAAGTAGCCAGTGATCGGCATCAATTTGGAAAGAAGCAATAATTTAATTGATCATCTTTTACTACAGGCATGCACAATGATTCCAAACTAAATTATGCTGATTCAAATAATCAAAATTGACATAAAATTAAATAATAATTATTATTACTATTATTGGCAATAAATCCAACAGATATTTGCTGATTTGAAGATCCACACTATCGATCTCTGATATGGGCGAATGAAGAACCTATTTTGTTGATTTTTAATCCATGTAGGATAGTTCTAAATTCGAAGACGTCGCGCAGTTAAATCTTTGAGTCTAACAAGTTGAATTTTAAATTTAAAGACTCTACGCCGTTAATCTATGATCTGAGTTGAATGGTTTAAAATTCGAAGACCCTGCGCCGTTGTTTTCTGATCTGGACGGGAAGAAACAACAGTAGATGTCGTCCCAACCCTCTTGCGAGGGGAGGGAACGCAGGGTGGCTGTCGAAATTGCTGCATTTAAATTTGAATTTTAATTTGATTAACCAATTGATTAAATTTAATTAAAATTAATTAATGAAAAAATTAATCAATTAATTAATTTCAATTAAATTTTATTAGTTGGTTAATCAATTAAAATTAAATTTAATTACACTCCAATTGAGTAATTTTTTAGGCTAATTCGGCAGTGTTCTTCTCTCCTTGTGGGAAGGTCGGGACGTCATTTGTCGTTATTTCTTCTTGCCCGGATCATAGATCAACGGCGCAAGATCTTCGATTTTTAAATCATTCAACCTCGATCAGAGATTGAAGGCGTAGAGTCTTCAAATTTAAAATTCAACTCACCAGACTCAAAGATTCAACTATGCGAGATCTTCAAATTTAGAACTATCCTACCCATATTAAAAATCAACGATGTATGACCTTCGATTCATCCGCCCAGATCAAAGATCGATGGCGCGGGTCTTCAAATCGGCGAATATCTGTTAGATTTATTGCCTTATTATTTAATTGTATGACAATTTAATTTTGATTATTTGAATCAGCATAATTTAATTTAGAATCGTTGTGCATACCAATAGTAAAAGATGAGCCATTAAATTATTGCTTCTTTGCTGAGTCATAGTCAATAGATGCAAATTACTGGCTACTTGATTCGGTCATTCACACAGGTTCGAGTTTAATTTTTTTTTATGACTTAGAGAAATATAGACAGTTTAAAACACTGTCTTTACTTACTACTTCACAAATAATCCAACAAAGTGGAGATCGTGTGAATAGAAGTGCAAGCAAAGAAATCAGATAGAATGAAGTAGGTCAAGTTTGGTTGATAAAGGTGGGCTCACATGGAAGAAGTGGGCGTCAGTTGTACAGACATTAAAAGCCGGGCTTTTGTGCGTTGGGTGTGGGCGCGAACGGAGATAGGCCGATCGGAGGGGGGACGAATGGGGTTTGAGGATTCTAAACAAAGATTCTGAGTGATTTTTTTAATTCCGTTTCTATGGCTTTTTATCAATTGGATTATAGCCTGGAGTAGGGGTGTCAATTCGGGTCAACCCGACTTGACCCGACCGTAAACGGGTTGACACTAACCAGACCCGAATATGCAAACGGGTCTGGTTTGTCAACCCAAACCTGACCCGTGCGGGTTACCGGGTTGACCCGAACTCAAATCGCGATATAGGTGAGGATCGCGAAAAGCTGAAACTGAACTGGACAGCGGCTCACGCTGGTGCGGGTGAGGCGGTGAGGCCAACGGGTCACGCTTGTGCGGCCGTATGCGGCCATGCTGGCGAGGCAAAGCCACAGAGGCCAGCGACTAATCGCGGAGACGGGCGTGATGCGAGGGTCAGCGGGGATGAGACGACAAGGCTAGCGACAACAAGGCTGCACAGACTGCTTGTCTGTGGGCTCCAAAAATTCGGCCACGGCCTCTGCCCGACTATTATTTTTTTGCTTCAGGGGAGTTTTAACAGATTAAGTTCCAGGGTAAATTTTGGAAGGCAGATGAGTTTGTAAATAAGACACTACCCAGATAATTCGCCCTGATTTTGTGA